TTTTTCCATTCCCAAAACTTTACACTTGCTCGTGTTGAACTCCAGTAGCCATTTCCCTGATCATCTCAGCAGCTTGTTCAAGTCGTCTTGGGAGAGTTCTCTCAAGCCTTATCTGTCACAACTGGCTTCATTAAACCAAAGTTGTCAAATATCTTGGAGAAGTCGGGAGTCTGCGATAGACGACCAGCAGTTGGTAGCCAGCCAACAGTTAAGCCAGACAGCAAACCGGCCAATCACCCAGACAGACTGCCAGTCAGACAACCGTCCAACCAACTAGCCAATCACCCAACCACACCAACCAGTCTGTCAACTAGCCAACCCGAGAACGCCGCTCTGCAAAGCAATCACGACACCTGTCCCAGCCAGGCGTCAGTGTCGTACTGGGTCCGTCCCACGACACCTGTCCCAGCCAGGCGTCAGTGTCGTACTGGGTCCGTCCCCTAGACGGCTTAACCACCTGTCACATGGGAGGTACACCCACCTACACCCGTGGGAGGTACACCCACCTACACCCGTGGGAGGTACACCCACCTACACCCGTGGGAGGTACACCCACCTACACCCGTGGGAGGTACACCCAACTACACCCGTGGGAGGTACACCCACCTACACCCGTGGGAGGTACACCCAACTACACCCGTGGGAGGTACACCCACCTACACCCGTGGGAGGTACACCCCACCTACACCCGTGGGAGGTACACCCACCTACACCCGTGGGAGGTACACCCAACTACACCCGTGGGAGGTACACCCACCTACACCCGTGGGAGGTACACCCACCTACACCCGTGGGAGGTACACCCCACCTACACCCGTGGAGGTACACCCACCTACACCCGTGGGAGGTACACCCACCTACACCCGTGGGAGGTACACCCACCTACACCCGTGGGAGGTACACCCACCTACACCCGTGGGAGGTACACCCACCTACACCCGTGGGAGGTACACCCACCTACACCCGACACCCTACACCCGTGGGAGGTACACCCACCTACACCCGTGGGAGGTACACCCACCTACACCCGTGGGAGGTACACCCCCACCTACACCCGTGGGAGGTACCCCCAACCCTACACCCGTGGGAGGTACACCCACCTACACCCGTGGGAGGTACACCCACCTACACCCGTGGGAGGTACACCCACCTACACCCGTGGGGGCGTGGGGTACCCCACGTGGGAGGTACACCCACATTCACCCGTGGGAGGTACACCCAACTACACCCGTGGGAGGTACACCCACCTACACCCGTGGGAGGTACACCCACCTACACCCGTGGGAGGTACACCCACCTACACCCGTGGGAGGTACACCCAACTACACCCGTGGGCGTGGTGGGAGCAGCGTGGGCGTGGTGGGAGCAGCGTGGGCGTGGTGGGAGCAGCGTGGGCGTGGTGGGAGCAGCGTGGGCGTGGTGGGAGCAGCGTGGGCGTGGTGGGAGCAGCATGAGCGTGGTGGGAGCAGCGTGAGCGTGGTGGGAGCAGCGTGGGCGTGGTGGGAGCAGCATGAGCGTGGTGGGAGCAGCGTGGGCGTGGTGGGAGCAGCGTGAGCGTGGTGGGAGCAGCGTGGGCGTGGGTGGAACAGCGTGGGCGTGGTGGGAGCAGCGTGGGCGTGGTGGGAGCAGCGTGGGCGTGGTGGGAGCAGCGTGGGCGTGGTGGGAGCAGTGTGGACGTGGTGGGAGCAGCGTGGGCGTGGTGGGAGCAGTGTGGGCGTGGTGGAGCAGCATGAGCGTGGTGGGAGCAGCGTGGGCGTGGTGGGAGCAGCGTGGGCGTGGTGGGAGCAGCGTGGGCGTGGTGGAAGCGCATGGCGTGGTGGGAGCAGCGTGGGCGTGGTGGGAGCAGCGTGGGCGTGGTGGGAGCAGCATGAGCGTGGTGGGAGCAGCGTGGGCGTGGTGGGAGCAGCGTGGGCGTGGTGGGAGCAGCATGAGCGTGGTGGGAGCAGCGTGGGCGTGGTGGGAGCAGCGTGGGCGTGGTGGGAGCAGCGTGGGCGTGGTGGGAGCAGCGTGGGCGTGGTGGGAGCAGGGTGGGCGTGGTGGGAGCAGCGTGGGCGTGGTGGAGCAGCGTGGGCGTGGTGGGAGCAGTGTGGGCGTGGTGGGAGCAGCGTGGGCGTGGTGGGAGCAGCGTGGGCGTGGTGGGAGCAGTGTGGGCGTGGTGGGAGCAGCGTGGGCGTGGTGGGAGCAGTGTGGGCGTGGTGGGAGCAGTGTGGGCGTGGTGGGAGCAGCGTGGGCGTGGTGGGAGCAGTGTGGGCGTGGTGGGAGCAGCGTGGGCGTGGGCGTGCGTGGGAGCAGCGTGGGCGTGGTGGGAGCAGCGTGGGCGTGGTGAGAGCAGTGTGGGCGTGGTGGGAGCAGCGTGGGCGTGGTGGGAGCAGTGTGGGCGTGGTGGGAGCAGCGTGGGCGTGGTGGGAGCAGCATTCTTTCAATTCTTTCGTATATTAATACATCTTCAGAATGAATGAATATATATATATATATATGTTGTTAAACATGACCGAAAAAGTAAGATTAATAATTCTAACACGAATTTTCTCAATATTTCTTATGTTTCTTTTCCCTGTCGTTGGTAATTGAAAAATAAATTCTCCAAAATTCATTTTTATTTCTAGTCTGACGCGACGCCTGAACGCGTTTCGTAATAACTTATTACATTTTCAAAGACTTCACGCATACAACTGTAACCGGTAAACACGCGTAATACATCCATACTTATACTCGTATTTGGCTGAGGTGATATGGTACAAAAGTTTTGGGTGAGGTGATTGTCATTTACACATGACAGAACACGAACCAATGGGTATAAGAACATAAGAATAGAAGCAACTGCAGAAGGCCTATTGGCCCCATGATGGCTCCTCTTGATGCTTCTATATTGGTTCGGGGTCTTGAAGTGGGTAGAATATAGTTATGCATAAATTGGCTGTTGATTGCTGCTGTTGACAAATGCACAACTATATTCTACCGTCATTTGTTCGCATTTGTGTTCCTCACGTGTGCCCCAAAGAATGAGGTGATTTGATAAAATACCATGCCCAAGATTACCATCAGAGTGCCAGCGGGATGATGGGGAAATAGCCTCGGCTACCATCATCTTTTGTCCGGTTCGTGATAGTCGAGTGGTTAAGGTGTCCTGTACACCAGATGCATAGTGCTCCTGGCAGTATAGGTTCGAGTCACTTCTGGGGGTGCGAGTTTTCAGTTATATATATATATATATATATATATATATATATATATATATATATATATATATATATATATATATATATATATATATATATATATATATATATATATATATGACAGGCTGAATGAACGCGTGAGCCATTAATCACTAAGAACTCTTTTTCACCCGACCAGGATTCGAACCCCCGCCGACCAGGATCACACCCTGGCATAAAAGGTACGGTAACCACTGTACCAATAAACACATATATCTATAAACATTAATATAGACACACACAAACAGGCAGCATTACTGGATGAAGAAGAGACAGATTCTTGCAGTAGGAAAAGATCGGGGAACTATCAGAAGAAACGCCAAGCCATTACGACTATATAGCACTGGGAAGGGATTAGGATTTGGGATGAGACGAGGGGAAGGAATGGTGCCCAACCACTTGGACGGTCGGGGATTGAACGCCGACCTACAAGACACGAGACCGTTGCTCTACCGTCCTGCCCAAGTGGTTGGGTAGAGCGGGAACAGATAACGTCAGCAGCATGTGTCATAATGCCCAAGGTCCGTGTATCTTGCAGGAACTTTGGTAAAATAGCCTTCTGGACCCACTCTACAGTATGAACAACCTCCGTGAGACCACTCTTGAATATGCAGACCCAGCATGGCACCCTCGCCTGAGAAAGAACAAGACAAAACTAGAAAAGGTCCAAAGATATGCAACACGGGTCGTTCCTGACCTGACGTCACAAGGAAAGACTAAGGGAACTGGACGTCAACACACTAGAGAAGAAGAGAGATAAGGGGGACATGATAACGACATACAAGATTCCAAGAATAATTAACAAAGTAGAGAAAACAGCATAATTGAGCGCGCTAAACACCGCAGACCGAAGGGGGTATAGATGGAAGCTGAAAACATGAATGTCACAGATGTTAATAATAACAAGTGTTAAGAGATGTCAATAGATGGAGTAGGTTGCCGTAGACGAAGATGTCGATGACGTAAACGCGATTCATATTTGAATTGTAAATATGATAAACACGTTGAAACTGAGTCGTTGCATTAATACAAGAAAGCTGGGAATGAAGGACTTAGAATTAGAAGCTTAGCTCGTTCTTGCAAGCACATCTAGGCAAGTATACGGATGCACCTGCTTCGGAACACATCTTATGGACCAATGGGAGCGGTTCTAGTGATGATCGTTGCGGGAACCGCGAAGACTTCTCCAGCGGTTGTTTTGGGTGACGAGTCATACTAGTCGAGGCAAACTTTCCTTCTGTGATGCATTTGTTTAGGTGAAGTGACGGGGGATGAGGAGGCTGTGTGGGGAGGGGGAGGTGCCGGCACACGACTAGGGGAGGTGCCGGCACACGACCAGGGGAGGTGCCGGCACACGACTGGGGGAGGTGCCGGCACACGACCAGGGGAGGTGCAGGCACACGACTGGGGGAGGAATGCACGGAAACATGTCTTGGTCGGGAGGGTTCTCTCTTCAGTCCCCTCCTCCCATAACCCCCTCCCTCCGTCCATCTCCTCCTTGGTACCTCCTTCCCTCCCCCTCCCTCCGTCCAGCTGGTACCTCCTTCCCTCCCCCTCCCTCCGTCCAGCTGGTACCTTCTTCCCTCCCCCTCCCTCCGTCCAGCTGGTACCTCCTTCCCACCCCTCCCACCTCACCGCCCCGGGGACGGATACCGCCACGCCACCAGCCATGGCAGCTCTATCCCCCCCGCTCATTCGCACATGACCCACACTTTCTCCCACACTCTCACCCCCACCTCACGCCCCCTGCAGCAGCAGCAGCAGCAGCAGCAACGTACTCACCTCCTGAAGGCAGCTGCTGTGGCCAGCCGTGCAACACACATGGACCACCACCACCACCACCACCACACCGCCTCCGCCACGCACAGTTTTTCTCAAGTTCACTTTTTAAGTGAGAGGCGCTCGTGTTTTTCTGAAGGTGTTTAGTGTTGGAGACACTCACACACAGGGAGGAGGGTTATGAGCCACTACTGCCAGTAGAGAAATGAGAAGAGGGTTATGAGGGAGGAGGAGGAGGAGGAGGCGACTCCTTGCGCTGTGGCCGTCTACCACTCACTGCTAATACTCGAGCACCTTTGTGAGTGTTCAAGGCTGGCCATCAGCTGGGGCAGGGAGAGAGCCAGCCTCCCGCCGCCACACGCCATGCTACACTACCCACACACTTCGGGTATCGATTATTGCTTATCTTTAGGCTCCCACCTTTCCTGCCTTTATCCTGGGACTGTTTTAGAGTACTGCACGAGCGGCTCACGGACCTTCCCAGCCTAGGGAACTTCTCCTTAAGGCTGACAACGGTGCCTCGTTGCTCTAGACCTCTCACGGTACCACTAACTTGAGTTCCTCAGTGTTGTGTAACCACTATTGTCATTCTGGGTGTGGATAATGGCATCCAGCAAGTGTCAGAGCGGCCCATGTGGCGACAACGTGGCAACGCCGCCTCATGTAATATTCTCAACCACATGTCGGCCGCTGTAGCCACGCTCCGTTTATGCAACATTTGCAGCGGCAGGCAACGCTGCCGGCTTGCAGGAGGAGTGGCCCGGGAAAGACGGTGGCCAGCGGGTGTGAGGAGGAGGGCGGGAAACTGGGCAAGTGGGTGGTGTTTGGGGCAGAAGTGGGTAGTTATCATGGTCGTTGGCACCTCCCCTCTAGATTCAATGCCAAGGTCACACGCGCCCCCAGGCGGCTAGGCGTGCCAACCCTTCCAATTACGTCGCCAGGAAACACAGGCGTCACAGTTTCCCCGGGGAACTCTCTCTCTCTCTCTCTTACCTTCCCTGCCCCCTAGGAACTGCTCAGGGCATTCTTGGGGCATCATGCCCGCTCTGCACGCTCGCCTGCCACGGAACACCTGCACCCACACCTGCTGCGAGGCAGGTGTGGGTGGGAGAGGTTGCTGGTGCAGGTGGCTGGCCCCCCTGACCCACACTACAGTGCCAGTGCCCCCCTTCCCCCCTGACCCACACTATAGTGCCTCCTCCCCTCCCCCCCTGACCACCTAGTGCCTGCCCTCCCTTCCCCCCCTGACCCACACTAGTGTGACCCACACTAGTGCCCCCCTTCCCCCCTGACCCACACTAGTGCCCCCCTTCCCCCCTGACCCACACTATAGTGCCTCCTGCCCCCCCCCCCTGACCCACACTAGTGCCCCCCTTCCCCCCTGACCCACACTAGTGCCTCCCTCCCCCCTGACCCACACTAGTGCCTCCCTCCCCCCCTGACCCACACTAGTGCCCCCTTCCCCCCTGACCCACACTATAGTGCCCTCCTTCCCCCCCCCTGACCCACACTATAGTGCCTCCCTCCCCCCTTGCCACACCACACACCCCCCACCAGTGACCCCACCCACCACTATAGTGCCACCCCACCCACCAACTCCCAGTGCCACCTGACCAACACACCAGTGCCACCCCACCCACCAACACAACCAGTGCCACACCACCCACCAACACACCAGTGCCACACCACCCACCAACACACACCAGTGCCACACCACCCACCAACACACACCAGTGCCACCCCACCCACCAACACACCAGTGCCACACCACCCACCAACACACCAGTGCCACACCACCCACCAACACACCAGTGCCACACCACCCACCAACACACCAGTGCCACACCACCCACCAACACACCAGTGCCACACCACCCACCAACACACCAGTGCCACACCACCCACCAACACACCAGTGCCACACCAGTGCCACACCAACCACACACCAGTGCCACACCACCCACCAACACACACCAGTGCCACACCACCCACCAACACACACCAGTGCCACACCACCCACCAACACACCAGTGCCCACCACCACCCACACCAGTGCCACACCACCCACACACACCAGTGCCACACCACCCACCAACACACCAGTGCCACACCACCCACCAACACACCAGTGCCACACCACCACACCAACACACCAGTGCCACACCACCCACCAACACACACCAGTGCCACACCACCCACAACACAACCAGTGCCACACCACCCACCAACACACCACCCACCACCCACCACACACCAGTGCCACACCACCCACCAACACACACCAGTGCCACACCACCCACCAACACACACCAGTGCCACACCACCCACCAACACACCAGTGCCACACCACCCACCAACACACCACACACCAGTGCCACACCACCCACCAACACACCAGTGCCACACCACCCACCCACACACACCAGTGCCACACCACCCACCAACACACCAGTGCCACACCACCCACCAACACACAACAGTGCCACACCACCCACCAACACACACCAGTGCCACACCACCCCCACCAACACACCAGTGCCACACCACCCACCCACCACACACCAGTGCCACACCACCCACCAACACACCAGTGCCACACAACACCCACCAACACACACCAGTGCCACACCACCCACCAACACACCAGTGCCACACCACCCACCAACACACCAGTGCCACACCACCCACCAACACACACCAGTGCCACACCGCCAAATACGGGTTCACATCCTCCCTCCGTCCTCCTCACAGCATCTACTGACTATGGCGTATACATATAGTACTCACCCGCACCCCTCCGCTAGTGCTGCTGCTGCTGCTGCTGCTGCTGCTGCTGTTGCCGCTGCTGCCGCCGCTTCGTACGGCTGCAGCCAACCCATCGCTCTGCACGGCTCTTACCTGGAGAAAGTTGGGTGTTTGTGCGGGATTAGTACCATTTTCAACCATTATATGTTTATTTCCACGAAAAGTGTGGATGACAATTAATATTATTAATAAAATATATTATCATTAATAATTTATTCTTTCTTCTACTGGGTATATGAACCACTTGATAAGGAAGGCTACTGGGTATGTGTACCACTTGATAAGGAAGGCTACTGGGTATGTGAACCACTTGATAAGGAAGGTTACTGGGTATGTGTACCACTTGATAAGGAAGGCTACTGGGTATGTGTACCACTTGATAAGGAAGGCTACTGGGTATGTGAACCACTTGATAAGGAAGACTACTGGGTATGTGTACCACTTGATAAGGAAGGCTACTGGGTATGTGTACCACTTGATAAGGAAGGTTACTGGGTATGTGTACCACTTGATAAGGAAGGCTACTGGGTATGTGTACCACTTGATAAGGAAGGTTACTGGGTATGTGTACCACTTGATAAGGAAGGCTACTGGGTATGTGTACCACTTGATAAGGAAGGCTACTGGGTATGTGTACCACTTGATAAGGAAGGTTACTGGGTATGTGTACCACTTGATAAGGAAGGCTACTGGGTATGTGTACCACTTGATAAGGAAGGCTACTGGGTATGTGTACCACTTGATAAGGAAGGCTACTGGGTATGTGTACCACTTGATAAGGAAGGCTACTGGGTATGTGTACCACTTGATAAGGAAGGTTACTGGGTATGTGTACCACTTGATAAGGAAGGCTACTGGGTATGTGTACCACTTGATAAGGAAGGCTACTGGGTATGTGTACCACTTGATAAGGAAGGCTACTGGGTATGTGTACCACTTGATAAGGAAGGTTACTGGGTATGTGTACCACTTGATAAGGAAGGCTACTGGGTATGTGTACCACTTGATAAGGAAGGTTACTGGGTATGTGTACCACTTGATAAGGAAGGCTACTGGGTATGTGTACCACTTGATAAGGAAGGTTACTGGGTATGTGTACCACTTGATAAGGAAGGCTACTGGGTATGTGTACCACTTGATAAGGAAGGCTACTGGGTATGTGTACCACTTGATAAGGAAGGTTACTGGGTATGTGTACCACTTGATAAGGAAGGCTACTGGGTATGTGTACCACTTGATAAGGAAGGCTACTGGGTATGTGTACCACTTGATAAGGAAGGCTACTGGGTATGTGTACCACTTGATAAGGAAGGCTACTGGGTATGTGTACCACTTGATAAGGAAGGCTACTGGGTATGTGTACCACTTGATAAGGAAGGCTACTGGGTATGTGTACCACTTGATAAGGAAGGTTACTGGGTATGTAAACCACTTGATAAGGAAGGCTACTGGGTATGTGTACCACTTGATAAGGAAGGCTACTGGGTATGTGTACCACTTGATAAGGAAGGTTACTGGGTATGTGTACCACTTGATAAGGAAGGTTACTGGGTATGTGTACCACTTGATAAGGAAGGTTACTGGGTATGTGTACCACTTGATAAGGAAGGCTACTGGGTATGTGAACCACTTGATAAGGAAGGCTACTGGGTATGTGTACCACTTGATAAGGAAGGCTACTGGGTATGTGTACCACTTGATAAGGAAGGCTACTGGGTATGTGTACCACTTGATAAGGAAGGTTACTGGGTATGTGTACCACTTGATAAGGAAGGTTACTGGGTATGTGTACCACTTGATAAGGAAGGTTACTGGGTATGTGTACCACTTGATAAGGAAGGTTACTGGGTATGTGTACCACTTGATAAGGAAGGTTACTGGGTATGTGGATACGGAAGGCTACTGGGTATGTGTACCACTTGATAAGGAAGGCTACTGGGGGTACCACTTGATAAGGAAGGCTACTGGGTAACCACTTGATAAGGAAGGTTACTGGGTATGTGTACCACTTGATAAGGAAGGTTACTGGGTATGTGTACCACTTGATAAGGAAGGTTACTGGGTATGGTACCACTTGATAAGGAAGGCTACTGGGTATGTGAACCACTTGATAAGGAAGGCTACTGGGTATGTGTACCACTTGATAAGGAAGGCTACTGGGTATGTGTACCACTTGATAAGGAAGGCTACTGGGTATGTGTACCACTTGATAAGGAAGGTTACTGGGTATGTGAACCACTTGATAAGGAAGGTTACTGGGTATGTGAACCACTTGATAAGGAAGGCTACTGGGTATATGAACCACTTGATAAGGAAAGCTACTGGGTATGTGAACCACTTGATAAGGAAGACTACTGGGTATGTGAACCACTTGATAAGGAAGACTACTGGGTATGTGAACCACTTGATGAGGAAGACTACTGGGTATGTGAACCACTTGATGAGGAAAGCTACTGGGTATGTGAACCACTTGATAAGGAAGACTACTGGGTATGTGAACCACTTGATAAGGAAGACTACTGGGTATGTGAACCACTTGATAAGGAAGACTACTGGGTATGTGAACCACTTGATAAGGAAGACTACTGGGTATGTGAACCACTTGATGAGGAAGACTACTGGGTATGTGAACCACTTGATAAGGAAGACTACTGGGTATGTGAACCACTTGATAAGGAAGACTACTGGGTATGTGAACCACTTGATAAGGAAGACTACTGGGTATGTGAACCACTTGATAAGGAAGACTACTGGGTATGTGAACCACTTGATGAGGAAGACTACTGGGTATGTGAACCACTTGATGAGGAAAGCTACTGGGTATGTGAACCACTTGATAAGGAAGACTACTGGGTATGTGAACCACTTGATAAGGAAGACTACTGGGTATGTGAACCACTTGATGAGGAAAGCTACTGGGTATGTGAACCACTTGATAAGGAAGACTACTGGGTATGTGAACCACTTGATGAGGAAGACTACTGGGTATGTGAACCACTTGATGAGGAAGACTACTGGGTATGTGAACCACTTGATGAGGAAGACTACTGGGTATGTGAACCACTTGATGAGGAAAGCGTGGTGCTCATCACGGAGTAATGGACAATGTCATTCATTGTTAATATACTGCTTCTTATCAGCCTATCCCCTGCCAACACTGCCTGCTTGTGGTCCGAGCAATACTGAACA